GCACACATGCCTCCAGCAGATGTGGCTCCATCGTCGCCTGGGCCACTGTCACACCGACCTGTGGGACAGCTCACTGTCACCCCGCCAGCCAGGGCCCCATCCACTGGCCCCATCCCATCCTGCCCCCTACACCTACCCGGGCACAGAAGTTATTGATGGCCTCGGGGGGGAAGCCTCTCCGGCGCAGGGCCGTCAGTGTGAAGAGCCGCGGGTCATCCCAGTCCCTGAGAAAACACCGGTGAGACAGCCAGGTGTGTGCTGGGAGAGACCCACCCTGGCTGCTGGCCCAGCTCCTACCTCACAGCACCCGTCTCCACCAGCTGGATGATCTTCCTCTTGGAAACGACGGTGTAGAGCAGGTTCAGGCGCCCGTACTCCCACTGCACGGGGCAGTAGACATCCAGCGCGTTGCACAGCCAGAAGTAGGAGGAGCGCCTGCAAGGGAGGCACAGGTACAGCCCGGCTCAGCCTCACGCCTGCCCACAGCCCCATAGAATCATCTGGGTTGGAAAAGCCCTTGAAGCTCCTCCAGTCCAACCATGAACCTCACCCTGACCCTTCCCAACTCCCCCAGATCCCTCAGAGCTGGGTCAGCCTGATCTGGTTGACGGAAACACCATCCCCCAGCACTTTGGCAGCCAGGATGTGGCCAGCTGCTCCCCCCCAGAGCTGCTCAGCCAGGTCCAGCTCAGCTCTGGGCCATGCCATGCACGGCGCTCACCTGGCCTGGAACTCCTTGGTGCAGAGGGAGTGTGTGATGTGCTCGATGGAGTCGCAGAGGCAGTGTGTGTAGTCATACGTGGGGTAGATGCACCTGCAAGGCAGACACAGTCAGCAGTAGGGCTCAGCCCAGTTCCTGCTCCCTTCCCGACACCTCCCTGCTCCCAGGAGACACAGGCCCACCCCCACCACACATGCCAGGATGCCGCAGGCCCTCCCTACCACTTGTCCCCGGTGCGGTGGTGCGGAGTGAACTTGACACGGTAGGCGACAGGGTCCATCTTCCCATCCTCCATCACCAACTTCATCCGCAGTGTGGCCTCCCCCTCCCCAAACTTGCCCTTTCGCATGTCCTGTGGAGCACAGAGGGAGGGGGAGGCTGTCAGCTGAGCCACGAACCCAGCCCCCATGGGCACACAGCACCTGCCCCCAGCCAGAAGTACCTCAAAGAGCAGGAGCGACTCCTCCACAGGCCGGTCCCGCCATGGGGAGGGTGGTGGGTTGTGGCCCTTGATCTCCTCAACCTTCTGATGGCAGACGTACGCCTGGCCCCTACGGAGAGGAAACACCGTCACCAGACGTAAGTGACCCCATCCCCTGGGCAAGCGGGAGCCCCAGGTGCAGCAGGGGACATCCACACCGCCCTGGCACAGCCACGCCGCCCCGGCACACTCGCCTGCGGATGAGCTCCAGGGCCCAGGTGTACAGTTGGTCAAAGTAATCTGATGCATGGGTCACTGCGTAGGGCTGGTAGCCTGTGGGTTCAGGACAAACAGAGCAGATTGGAGGCACTCCCAAGGCCTGGCAGCAGGACCTGCATGCGGGGATGTCCCCAGCAGCACCTGGCCTGATTCTGCCCTCCCCAGCCCGAGCTGTACCCAGCCACTCCACCATCTCCCGGATGGCTGTGAAGTACTTCTCCTCCTCCTTCTCGGGGTTGGTGTCGTCATAGCGCAGGAAGCACACGCCACCGTTGGCCTGGGGATGGGGAGGACAGTGAGCAGCCGCTCCCTGAGAGACCACAGGGCCAGGCCAGCGACCAAACAGTGGCTGGGGGGAGCTGCCAGCAGGGCTTGGTGCTTCTCACCTTGGCATAGCCAAAATTGAAGTTGATGGCCTTGGCATGGCCGATGTGCAGGATCCCGTTGGGCTCAGGAGGGAACCGTGTCCGCACCTGCGAAGGAAAAGGGGACACCTCTGTCCTTTGGCAGGAGACTCGCCCCCTCCCTGACAGCATGGGCACTGACATGAACCCCCAACGATCCCACAAAGCCCCCTGTGCTGCCTCTGGCCATGCTCCCCGTGAGCTGCGTGTGTCCCCCCCAGCCACCCCACCTGCCCAGCCGCAGCCCGGCACAGCAGTGCCACCCTCGCAGGGAACCGCTGGGCTGGGGACGTGGCCTCACCTGCCCACCCGTGACTGTCAGGTGATGTTTCAGCAGAGCCATGGTGTTGGGTGTCACCACGTAGCCCTCTGTCTTGTAGTTCTCTCCTGTGGGCAGAGAATGGTCAGGGCTGCAGCACGGCCCAAACCAAGCCAAGCCCAGCAGCTGGTGGGGAAGGACATGGGATCAGTCTGGGGGCAGCACGGGGAGCCGGGGCCAGACACAGAGTCAGTGGAGTGGCCCCGCTCATAGCAGTGACTCCTTGTACTCACCCGGCTTGTGGAACTTGAGGGCTTCTCCCCGCAGCTGCTCCATCAGTGACCGCGTCTCCGTGCCCACCTCACCTGCAGGGAGAGACAGGGCTGAGCAGGGGCCTGACCCCGCTCCTGGGGTCCGGCTCAGAGGCAGGTCACAGCCAGGAACCGAAGGGCTGGGGAAGCTGCCAGCAGGACAGTTTCTTACCGTTCTCCACCACAACCACCTTCTGCTTCTCTGCTGGGGCCAGCCGGGCCTTCGCAGCCTGCAGGGACCAGCACAGCACCCTGAGTGCCCGGCCCCAGCACGGACCTTCCCGTCCCAGCTCAGCCCACTGCCCCCAGCGCTCCCTCAAACCCACACCCATGGTGGCAGCTGGGCCCAGAGCAGCTATTTGGGATCCTGCCTGGACACTCAGCAGAGAAATACCACCCCCCACCCCAGTTCCCAGCCTCCTCCTCACCTTTGGTTTCTTTTCCAGGTCAGCTTCTGTCTTTGGCCCCAGCAAATGCAGCACCTAAAGAAGACAGACACAGACAGGAGTAGAAAAGGCTCCTGCTGTCCCAAGGCCTAGAGGTGGCCCTGTCCAGCTGTCACCCGACCTGTACCGGGCACTGAGCCCTCCCATGGGACAGGCCAGCAGGTCCCGCCCAGGGCACGGCACTGACAGGGGGACACCACCCCAAGCAGCGCCCAACCTCCTGCCCTCACACCCACCTGCAGGTCCACCTCGTTCTTGATGGTCTTCCCGTCCGCCCAGCGCAGCCGGCTCCGCGCCTCCCCTGCGGACAGGGCACCCCGGGGGCCAGGGGCACGGCCCAGCCCGGGGGGGGTGGCTTTAGCCAGGAGGCCGTGGCCAGCAGCTGGAGGCAGCCCTTGCCCCAGGCCACCACGCGCGTGGTGCTCAGCGTGGGCTGAGCTGGCTCTCGGGACCCAGGGG